GTGAATCAGAAGCGACAGCGTCGGCACTGAGTGTGTCAGTCCTCCCCCACCTCCCCGAGCTGCTCACCTAAACAAGAATGCATTTCCATTCAAGCTGCTGGGTTATTCAAGGATCAGAAAACTAAGACAATGTGAGAAGATGATCGTCCGATGTTGTAGTCAAAAGACCACCCAGACAAGCCGCGACAGGACTGTCTAAAGTTGACTCTTTTGTCAGATAAGAGCTCTGCTCAAGTCTGTTTGCATTCTTCAGGACGGGACATGTAAACGTTTCTATGGCAGCTCGCTCAGCCCTCGGCCTCTTTGTGTGCCGTTGTGAAGCACACAGAAGCTCTCGGTGAAGGTGAAAGCCATTGTGCTTTTTGGGGCATATTCCTTCTTGAAAATGCATAAATCCTCACATGACAGTAGCTCCTGAGTCCTCAAGAAAGAAAGAGATGAAAGTCAGAAAAGGGAAGTCAGGGACGCCAAATAAGGAAAGAAAAATATAGCCGTAGAAAGAGATGTAGTTTTACTCCTCGGCAGAGCTTTGTGTTCAGGATTTGAACAGTTTGTTTTTGAGGCTCATGCCAGCAGAGATTCTGTAATATTGACGGAAGAATTTGAGGAAGTGAAAGGGAGGGCAGGTAGGCACACGTTGCACTGCCCTCACCGGCAGAGCTGACTCAGGACTTCTAACGATGACACAGCGAGTCTGAATATTTCATGTCCACTCGGATTGTGACACACAGTCATCAGAGGCTCGGTTACTGTAATCACCAGCGTGGGATTAATGTGCAGGTATTTGTGGGATGGGTGCAGAGACAGACCTGAGCTTGTAAAGTAGAGCAGCACACACACGTCATGGAAAGAAATCAGTTCACAGAGCATCTAACTCAGACAACAAACTATGGCTGCATTATAATAACGTTCAAAAGAGAAACATGTTGCACATCTAAAGTCCTCTACTGGCACATTTACAGTCTGGGACCTCCTTCTTCTCCATCATGAATGCATCTTAAATACTTTACCTTCTCATATTTTGGATGGTGTGTTTGAAGTGGCTGGTAAACAGCAGCATCGTATCTGCAGCACATATCAGACCAGGTTGTGTAGACTTCAGCGGGGCTCTTGTTTAGTCTTTGCTCCACATTAGAGGCCCCAGCTATGTGAGATGGGACTTTATCTCCTGTTGAATTTCATAATCCTTCAAACATTCAACTGCAGAATGTGAAAACAGGTTTTTTTTGTTGTACTCATCCATCTCCAAAGAAAGAGTCAACATGTACAGATGATCTACACAAACTCTACTTTACAGTTTGATAATTCTAAAGCCAATTTCTGTTTGATGTTTTGGTCCAGACTGAAATATCTCAGTGACTGTGTGTACGGCCATTCATGATCCCCAGAGGATAAACTAAGTGATCATTTGACTTTTCCTCTGGAGCCACCACAACGTTGACATTTGTGTTTTGTTAGTGAAATATCTCAACATTTACTGCATTGGTTGAATATTTGGTACAGACATTCATGATCCCCAGAGGATGAAACCCTCGTCATTTGGTAACTATTCCAAAAGCGTCACCATGAGTTTGAAATACCTCAACTTTGACTGAAGTTAGCATTTAGTACATTTAGTACAGTCTAACCTGATAGGCGATAGCATGACAGTGGACAATTTGTCTAGTTTAGGCTACGTTTACACTTGTTGATACATTTAACATCATTATTAAATCTTTTTTCCTTCATCTTAAGCTTCCAAATAGCCTCAGCTGCTGTTTAATGCAGCTAATTCAACGTATTACTTCCCCAGTTTATCTGTCCGAGGATTGTTTCCCATGCTTCCTTATCGCTGCTGATAAGAGCCGTCAGAAAGAGATGAACACAAGTAGTTTGTGTCTGTTTGCAGGCGTGTGAATGAGTCATATGTACACAAGTATGTGCAAATTGTGTGTGTGTGTGTGTGTCTGTGTGTGTGTGTGTTGGTCTGCACCTGCTTCCCTGGGAGGAAACATCTGCTGCAGGGTGTCAGAGGCCACCTGTCTGCCTCCGTCCTGACTGACCAGCCTGCAGAACTGATCTCTTGTCTGTGCAGGCTGAAGCTGCATCCGGATGATGTGTGTGGAGAGAAACAGCTGTCTCATTGGACCGTCCACGTGGCCCGCCATCCGAGACGTCCACTCAATGTGGAAGCAACAGGAAATCTTGTCTGCATGCTGGAAGTAACAGACTGAGGGCTTTTAATTCATGTTGGAATTCTTAAATGTAACTTTCTGATCAGGAAATGGTCTGAAACGTGGCAAAACTACCCCAAAAATATCCCCAAAAGCACAACTGACTTTACATTCATATTAATAGCAACTCATTTGAACGTTCATCTCTTTTTTTAGTGGCTATGGTTTTTTAGTGGACTTTGGTCCAGACTGAAACATCTCAAGATCCTCTAGATGTTTTGGAACCAAATCTTTCACACATGTTCATGGCTCCCAGAGGATGGACCCTAATGACTCTTGTGATGCCCTCACTTTTCCTCTAGCGCCACCATCTGGTTAACATTTGTGGTTTTGAGTGAAATGTTTCGACAACTGTCTGATGGATTATCATGGACTTTGGTTTCGATGTTTGTCTCAATGTGAATTGTAATAACTTTGGGTGATCCACTGACTTTTAAATGTAGCGCCATCATCAGGTTAACATTTCACTTTGTCCGACTGGTTACCTGCTGAAGGAATGACATCATCAGCCTCTGCTGTACCTTCATTTTACTGCTAACTGGCAAATGTTAGCATGCTAACGGCAGCTGAAGCACTTAAAGCAATGCTCCGCCTATATTTTGAGTATCATGCTCATCCTTTGTAGACTTACAATGTTTTGGCAAAAAAATGGCGACAAAATGTATGCTCATAGAAAGTCCTCAAATCGCTCCTGCAGGAATAAATCAAGCTGTCGTTGTCCACCTTTAAGCTAAGTGAGTTCCATAGCCTCACGTGTTCGCCAAAATGTGGCTGAATACATCATGTTAAATACGGCTAAATGTTAGTTAGGTTTGGTGTTTTTTGCATTTTCTTGTCCGACGAGGAGTACTGATCATAAGAAATGGTCCCCAGCTGGTCGACGGGATTAAAGGTCAGCACTTTAAGAGCCGAGGCCGTCAAGAAGCCTCAGGCAGTTTGGTACTTTTTAATTTGCTGCAAAACAATTACAGTGAACACGCTGTAACTGAAGCCGACCACAGCTGCTGTCCTCCAGAGAGATTTCTTTTCAGAGGCCGGCTTTCAAGCCTGCAGGTGCTTGATAGTAAACACGGGATTTGGGTGAACTAGTCCTTTAAGTTTAGAGATAGATGGTCATTGCTGGTTTGAGAAGAGGCACACATTGTGTAAAGCATCAGATAGTTGACCAACACGTCGTTATCTTTCTACGTAACGCCACATTTATTGGCTTGTATCTAAATCATCTTTTGCAGAAACACCTTATTTGGACATGAATCCTTGGGAGATTTGGCAGAGTTATGATTGTGACTATGTTGTAAAATGTTATAACCTTTAAACGTATTACCACAGAACCCCAAAGTCTGTGGGCCAACAGAGCGCCATCGCTCCGAGCAGCTTTTCCTTATTTTCATCCGTAATTTCCAGGAAGCTGTCGTACTGCAGGCTCTTATTTCAACAGGGATTCACAAACGTTTGTTCTCAGCTCGTCTGTCAGTGCTGAGTGTGAAACTTTTGATTTTAATAATCTTTGATTCAAAAATCTTGTATCTCATTGATTCTGACTGACAGAGTCCTCTGACGGATGCAGAGGAACTGAAGAAGGGAGGTAGCTTGTTCAATTTTCTATTGTTATTCTCGTGCTCTTCCCTATTTTTATTCAGTAAATGTATCTTAAATCCAATGTGCCGATCATACAATTAATATGGACATGTAAATGAGTAAAATAAAGTTCAACAAAACTAGTAGATAAAAGTTTGGCTTAAAAGGTGAGTTTGAAGTTATCTTATAAAGATGTCCACACTGTTGGCTCCCCTCAGGTGTGTTGCACATACAAGGAATTTGACATGGTGGGTGGTGCACAACATAAAACAATCAACAACATTCAGCACAGTGTAAACAACAGAAACATATTAAAATTGACAATCAAACATAAAATATAGGTCCACAGTCTTAGACCGGACCAGACCCATAAATAAAAACCATGTCAGACAGGTAGCGAGACCATTTAGTAAAGAATCTATACATCAATTCTAAAAACTGACGGGAAGACAGTTTAGAGATCAGTTGAAAAAAGGAGAGAAAGAACTACAAATTCAGTGAAATAAAAAGTAGAGAAAAAAAATACCAAATGTTCAAAAAGAAAGTCTTTTTAGAATGGAAATACACAAGTTCACCTGAAAACCCGCAGTATGTGATTAAATGCAGTGGATCACTTCACTGTGTGTGTGTGTGTGTGTGCGTGCGTGCGTGCGTGCGTGTGTAGCTGAGTGGCCGGTAGAGGGCGCTAACAACCGTGTTTCCTCTGCTCACAGCTCAGTTGTGTGTGTGCGCGCGTGTGTGTGTGTGCGTGTGTCTGTCTTCAAGCTTTGTTCATGGGTCACACTCACTTGTTGTATTCTGTTGATTTGAATCCTCTGAAGTACAAATCTGCATAAAAACCTGCTACAGAAACATATATTATAACTTGGATTTATTGTTTTTTCCCCGAATAAATCCAAGTTATAATATATTTCTTTAACATATTTCACTTATTGCAGCACACAGAGACACGTGTGTTTGCTGAAATACGGTGTGAGTGTAATAAAAACACAAATACAAGCTCCTGTGTGAGAACACTTCCACGATAAATCCATCAGCGGTCCTCCCCTCTCCCCTTCTCCCAGCCCCTCCTCTCGATTGGCTCTCAGCGGACAAACGGTCCACAAAGACGGCCTGTGATTGGTCCACGCTGCTGTCCCTCATAATTGGGGGGGGGGGGGGGCGCGCCCCTTCTTTGGCTTTTGGCAACAGAGACGCGCCGCTGCTCTCCTTCTCTGCTGTTTAGTGCGTCGAGCGTTGGAGGGAAGTGGAGTTCGCGCGTCTCGTAGTGCGTCCGTGGACCAAAGAGCAGCAGCAGCAGCGGTGCGCTCTTCTTCTTCCAGAGCCGCAGTCATCCCGGGGAGCAGCCCGCACCGTGCACGCCTCGGACACCGGGAGGAGGGATACTGCTCTTCTTCTGCATTCTTATTTTCTAACGGATTTGAAACATACATGTTCTTTTCATTTCCCCGATGGTAACCAAGTCCGCGCAGCCGGAGACATGTGGAATAATCCGGGGACAGTGCGCCGCGTCTCTCTAGTGTGTCTGCTCCTGACGCTGTGGGCTGAGGTGAGAACTTTAATCTCAGAGGGGGTGAGGAGGTTATCGATGGTGCGTTCACGTATCAATCGACTGGAAGTTTTTTTCCGTTTTTTGGAGGGGGTTTAAATTCCAGCTTTAATTGAATTGCCTGCTCGGGTCGTTGAATCATGTGATCTCAGGATTTCTAAATTAGCGCTTCCTTCTGGGAGACAAATGAAGTAAAAATCATCTGCTGTGTGATGCAGTGTCGGTATCAGCTGCTGCTCAGCAATGTAAACCGTGAAGTTCTGAAGACACGGCTGGGTGAAAGTTCTGTGTTTTTAAAGTTACATCTCCAAAATGAAGTGCGTTTTACGCAGATTCTAAACAGCCTGAAGACGCAAATGATTTGAAGGAAACATTGTTTGCAGCGCAGCTTCACCTGCATGTTCATGTTCTATAACAGGTTGCAGAAGTCAGATCCTAAATAGTTCAGCTCTTTGGCGGATGTGTTTGTCTCTATGTCAGAAGTCTCCACTGAGACTCAGGCTGCAGCGGGTCTCGTTAAGGTGCTCGGCCTGATATGCAGAGTGAGCTAAATTGGAGTGTAGGTCTCGTTACGCAGCCCCTGAAGTTCCGCTGTGCCAGAATATACAGTAGTGCGGGGCTGCAGAGTGACTGCTCGCTGCAAATAATACGCCCCACTTTCCCCTTCCATCTTAATCAAGTGGCATTTTGCTTGAACATTTAACCCAAAGCCGTCAAGTCCCTTAAAATGCAGCGTGAGACTCTAATAGAAAGGAATAACTTCTACGTGGAATACTATGTCACTTTAGAAGAACATCTGAATGGACACTGCAGTGTAAACACCCTTTCAGTCCGTCTCACTCATCATGTCTTCCCCCCAGGTGTCTCGGTCCACCGGGTACTTTGAGCTACAGCTGATTTCGGTGGGAAACCCTGAAGGGCAGCTCCTGAACGGCGACTGCTGCGACGCGGAGAAGAGCGCGGCGGAGGGCCACTGCGGCGCGGACGAGTGCGACACCTACTTCAAAGTGTGTTTAAAGGAATACCAAACGGAGGTCACGACCAACGGACCGTGCACCTACGGCTCGGAAACTACTAAGGTTATCGGTGGGAATACTTTTCAGTTCAAGGGCGGCCAGAAAACCGGCCAGAACCGGAACAATGACGCTGGGAAGATCACCATCCCCTTCCAGTTCGCCTGGCCGGTAAGTGGATCTTAGTGGCGCGTGAACTGGTGGAAATTCACCAGTTTCATGTAAAAGATGTTTTCATGTTCATAATCTTCCACGATGTGTTTTAAAATGTAGAATAATCTGAGGGAGTTTGGTTATTAGTATTTTGGCACATTTTTGGCACATTTTGGCGCAGTTGTCAGTCTGAGTCTCTGCGTGCCGCTCATTCTTCCTTCCGCGTGGCAGCTTTTTTTTTTGGCGTCTCTACGTGATCAGACGCCTCGTGAGGGATATCGCATTCCTCTCGTGGAACTTTTTTGAGTGAATGTCTGTGTTTCTGAGCCAAAGCCCATGAGCGCGCGTGACGCATGACTTTTACGCACAGCAGTGGTGCAGTTTGATGAGTTACCAAACAAGCTGCTGTTTGTTACAGTGTGTGAGAGGGGGGGGCTGTGGTCCCGGTGTTTGAAGAGGATGGGGGGGTTAAGAAGTGGCAGGTAATTTATTATCTAATCCAAACAAGCAGCGGAGCCAATCAGAAGCTGCGCCAGCGTGGGAAACAGGAACAGTCGTGACAGTCAGAGCTTTATGAGAGCTGCTGTTCCTCTCAGAGATCTGTATCAGCGAGCTGTAATGGTGGGGGTGACGTGCTAACGGAGGAAACGTCACAGGTTTGATTCCCACAACAGCTGAGCGAGCTGTCAAAATAAGAGTCCTGCTGGAAAAGAGCAACAGAGATGATGATGATATAGTTATTATAGCTCATCAATCAAGAGAAAAGGTTATGACTCTTTGGATAATCATTTACTAAAGCTTGTTACACTGCAACAGTTCTCACCGAGTCATTTTGTAGCTTTTACTGAGTTAAAGTCATATTTTCTTCAAACATGTGAGATCTGAATATTTTACTGAAGCTTGTTTGAAGTATTTTCTTGAATGCTGTGAAGCAATCTGTCTAAATGTGTTGTTCCCACATACTGACTCATTCTTATTGGAAAAAGGTTGAAATAAGAACAAACTAAGGCGCCTTTCGGCGTCAATGTCAGTCAAACATGACTTTGGAGACTTTCTAAGTGTGTGAAGAACAAACACTAAAGAACTCCTGCTAGCTTCTCCAGTTTAAGGATCAGCTGGTTTTCTCTGCTTCATATGAATGTAAATAGAATATTTCAAGTTTTTTTTGATCAAATGAAATAAGCAGTTTGAAGACTTGAACTTCTGGGAATGTGTGATGGACGTTTGTTTCCTGCAGCAGCAAAACACGTGACTGCTTGTGACTGAACATCAGTGCGCATACAGATATGGAATCATTCACCGCTGACACTCATAACGGACGGTGTCGCCGTGGAGACGTCGTATCGGCTGCTTTGTGCTCGGCTGGCTGGCCTGACCCCTCCATTCATCACTCCTCATGGTCAGCTGTCAGCAGAGGGGAAGATGGAAGTAGTAAGTTGGGCCCTGCGGGCGGATTGGGTTACCACTAAGTTGTGTGTGACACAGGCGGCGGGTATCGGTGTCACCAACTACTCAAACAAGTGAAGATCCTCGGTCAATCTGGGCCGGGGGATGCCTTTACCTCTCAGGTTCACGCTCTATCCGTTATTGGGTCATTGTCTCGCTCGGCGTGTGTGGGGGTCAGGACTTTCCACTATGTATGTGTGTGTATGTGTGTGTGTGTGTGTGCGCGTGTGTGGCACAAAGGAAGGAGGGTATCAGTGTTCAGCTTTTAAGGTTGAAGCAGCTGAAGGCTTTTTAAAAGAAATGTCATCACACCTCGCGCTTTTAAATCAGTTCTCTAGACGCCTGGTAACGTTTTCACTGGTGGTTAAATATCTGGTGTGTGACCCTCTCTGTGCACCGCCACCACTGCATTATTATAATAATAATTTATTAGTGCAGCACAAAGTAACACTCTTGATGCAATGAAAAATAAACAAGATGAGTAGAATGCATAACTTCATTGGAGGTAATTTACTTCACAAACTCTGAATGTTTGACAATAATCTTTAATTAGCATTGAATACAACTCGTGCTGCTGTTGTTGATTGATTAGTGTGATATAAATGTGTAGAATAGTTCCCAGTTTGATGTTCAATTTACAAAGATATGAAACAGACGCAAGGAGCTGGAGCCAGAGAATGTTTGGCATTCTTTTCTTGACGGATGACTTTGATGAGTCACTTGAATCCAGTCGCCATCATGTTGTAGTTTAAACACTGTCGTGTCTTCTGTGAGTATAACACATGTAGAGCATCCTGTCCACCCCGGAGGAGGGATTCCTCCTCTGAGAACACAGCAGATGCTCTACATAGAGGGACGTCTCGTCCTCTGTTCACACATCGATCAGAAGGTTGTGAAAGAAGACGGATGTCTCACTCTCCTCATACATTACGAGGCCAAACCCAGACCTCTTCCTGCCACAGACAGCGCTGACAGTCACTAACAAAGTGTGTGTGTGTGTGTGTGTGTGTGTGTGTGTGAGTGTGTGGCCTGTAGCCTCTGGTGCTGCCATAGTGGACTCCTTCGGTCGGCCCCAGTAATCTGGGCCACTGGTCCTGACATGAATTAGCTGCAGAGAAAAGAAAAAAAGAAGGCCATTGTTCTGCCCTCTGCTATGCCGATCATTTCCCCTTCATGTTCAGCCCTCTGGCTGTTTGGGTCTGTAGTGACATCTTTTTCATTGGAGCGACGGGGGGGGGGGGGGGCATTGACCGATGGAGCGAGGGACGATGGGGAGGAGAGAGGAAGCAGCCCCCTTTTCAAAATAAAAAAACCTCCACCCGGCTTCCTTGTGAGGGTTCTGTCACGAAGGAGTACTTTGGGATGCAGGAACTTTTTTTTTTTGACAGCAAAAAACAATCATTTACTTTTTCTCTTCTTCCTCCCCTGCCCCCCCCCATCTCACCCAAACCTTACCCTCTCTCCCTCTCTCCTTAAGGGGTATTTTTAGAGCTGCTGTCCTCAGCTCACCCCTCTTGTGAGTAAATCAAGGATCAAGGGTGCGTACTCCTTCAGTTTCATGGCCCGTTTCTTTACTCCCCCTCTGCCAGCATTCCCCCTCAGCCTGGCAGATCTGAGAGGGCAGAGGTGGAACAGCTGTTGTATGGAGACCTCCTCCTCCTCCTCCTCCTCCTCCTCCTGGAATAAATGTTTTAGTGAAACAACATTAGGAGAACAGGCTATGATTACAGCGCTGACGAAGCAAAAGATCAGCTCACCCGGAGGAGTATCGGTGAGCAATCAAAAAGTGCAATGTTGGATGTCTCCGTCTCCTTCCGTTGTTTCCTCGATGCCGTCACTGCCAGGCGGCTCGTTTGGCTCATTTGCCGAGTGCGTCTTTGGCGCACGCTCCTCCATCAGGAGCTCCTCTCGGTTTGGTGACTGCTTTTAATGGTTGATTAGTTTTGGGGGGAAAGAGGACGAGAGCGTTGGGATGTGTGTTAGGTGAGCGGAAGAGATGGTGTGGTATGTTTGTGTCCAGTGGTGATGCTGCAAAATGAAGAAAGACCCCAAAAATGTCCTATTTTTAAGGCCTACACATGTCAACCAGTTGTGCATCAACAGAACCAGATGCTGCAACTAAGTGAGACCATGATATCCAGTTTAATGAAGACCGCTCAGCATTGTGTCCGCTCCTCCCATGAGCCTGATGTGTGCAGATGTTAGCGTTAGCTACGTGGCTACATGGCGGGTAGACACGGACTGAATGAAGTAGAATCAGTCGACTCCCCTTTCTCGTGATCAGAAATAATATCTCATCAGACTGGGAGTGCAAATTAAAGTCAAGATATGATCTCGACTTTAACAGCTACCAGCTACTTTCTGACTGTTTTGTGTGCGTGTTGCAGTGACTTATCCTTGAGTCTGAACAGACTTCATTGGCAGCAGGACATGGTTCTCCTTTTCTTCATGCATACGTGACTTTGGAGCTCCAAAGCTTTGCTCTCATGAAGCATGTCGGTTGACCTGGAACACGTGTCTCTCTGTAAAACAACAAATTCACTCCTGTCTCTCTGCTCCGTGTGTCTTCATTAAGCCTGAGAAGCCTGCAGCAGGCCTCAGTAGGGCTCTGTTACGCACTGTGTGTGTGTGTGTGTGTGTGTGCGTGTGTGTGTGTGTGTGTGTGTGTGTGTGTGTGTGGCGGTTAACTGCGGTCGGGACGAGTCTGCTCGTCTTTCCCACGCTGTCGCTGGATTCCGCGTCAGCTGACCTGGTTCTGAGGCGTGTACAATGTGCGATTAGCTCCTCGGTCTGTGCGAGCTGATCGATTGCTGAAGCTGCTGGTGGTTTTGGTTTTGTGCGTGTGACTGATGTGTGTGTGTGTGTGTGTGTGTGTGTGTGTATAGGGGCAGCTTTTTATCCTCGTGTCGGGACATAAATATGTTCTCACAGTTACATTATGAGGCACAAAAAGCAGGTCCACACAAGATAAACCACATGGGTTAAAGCTTCAGGTTTAAGTCTCCAGAGAATTAATGTGAGTCAGTGTCCTCAGATTAAAACTAAGAGAGTGTGTGGGTGTGGGTGTGGGTGTGGAAGCTGTACATATGCGTCATGCTGATGCTGATATGATATTTACTAGCAGTCAGTTGAATTAATCTTCATCCCAACAAGTCCAAATCTGGTATTTCAGCAAATCGGATTGTGACAAATTCTGATTAAAAAAACTCATTCTTGACCTCAGAAATAGTAGTTTCACAAATCTAAAGGTCCACTTACTAGTTTCTCTCCTGATCTTAAAGTGTAAGCCAACACAGACGAGAAGTCCAAAAGTGCTATAAAGAATTGCAACATCTTTCATGTGATATGGATGAAACCTGTAGAAAAGCCACGATATCTCAATATGGGAATATTGGCAATATGTGTATAGAGAGAAATGATCAGAGACGGTGTCCACAGACGTACTTCTATCAGACTCAGGGGAGGTGGTTGCTTTGTATATGTATCTTTTTTCATCACAGGCTGGCGAAACATTGATTTCATTATTTGTCTTTTTATTTGCATTATTTGTATGTTGCCATTGTATATTGTGC